ATATATATATATATATATATATATATATATATATATATATATATATATATATTTATATTTATATTTAGGAACAATAATGTTGATAATCATACCATTAATGATATCATAGATAATTCAATACAGTAAGTCTATTGACAATAGACTTACTGTATTGAATTATCTATGATATCGTTAACATTAATGGTATGATTATCAACATTATTGTTCCTAAATATATATATATATATATATATATATATATATATATATATATATATATATATATATATATATATATATATATATATATATATATATATATATATATATATATATATATATATATATATATATATATATATATATATATATATAGGCTCACAATATATATGTTATAAAAACTAAACTTAAAAGTTTTAAATCAATATATGTCATTGCAAAAAGATTAGTTACATTAAACTTACTGTATTTGAATCATTGGTGGTAATATTTGAAATAATTCTTTGTCTATATTTTTTGGTAGTTTTCTAGAATAAATAATTTTTCATAAAAGTGTTGGGAAATTAAATATAGTAGAAATTGCATCTTTTTTTAGTTTCTTTTGTGAACTCGAAAGACTTCCTTTATACCAGTGAAATATTTACCACAACGTTTAGACAGTTTACTAGGAGTAAAACCATCACTCCACATAACTTGTATCCATTTTCTCCTCAATTCCATATCTTTCAGAAAACTATCAACAAAAATAAGCATATTAAAATAATATGCTATTTATATTTGAAATATAATGTAGGATCTTAGCAAATAATGATTTGTAGCTACTTACACATGAAAGGAAACCCTTTTAATATATCTTTGAGTGCAATTATATGCAAAACAAGATAACATCATGATCTTTATATATCTATATTCTATTTGAAAATCAAAATTTAAACAAAATAATATACATAACAAATAATAAAACTTTTAAAATGTTAAATACATCCACCCTAAACCGATATTATAAATTGTTTAATGCCCAAACGTGACGTCACGCGCTAAAAGATGTTTGCTTCAAAGTTTTGTGAATATTAACTTGCGGAAAGGCGCGTCTATCAGTTTATATGGTCGAAGGTTCTAAATGTCTTTTAAATGTTTTTTAAACGTCTTTTTAACATTCTTTGCGTAAGAATGTTTATAAGACATTTGAAATACATTTAAAACGAAACTTTTAAAAACAAATGCCCGCTGGGTATATTACTATATTATTTATAATGTTGTTACTGTATATTATTATAATCTACTTCTCTTTTATTGACATATTTTAATTAGGTATATAAAAGTCATATCTTAGATAGATGTATAAAAGTAAATTTAATTTTGTCCTAAATTTATCAAACCTCTTAATTATTATTCCATAAAGTTTTTCGTTTAAGTATTGTACTGTTTTAAGTTTTTTTTTTTTTTTTGTTTTGTTTTAGTTTCTTATTATAAAACTAGTACTTTATATACGTAAGTTGTCCATGAAATGTAAAACCTATTTCAGAATACATTTGATTTGATTTGATTATACCAGGTAAGACGAGTGTATGTCTCTTTCTAATCTATTTAGAACTTTTTGTGCAATAGGCTAAAATAATGTTGCCTCACGCAATCTATGAGTTTCTTTCATTGACCCCTCCTCCCTACAAAAAAAGAAGATTAGGTTCCCCGTTTTTGAATATCACTTTCGTGCCCAAGAGAGAGCAAGAGAAATTGTATGAACCTTTAATGGTCAAGTTCCTAACCAAAAAATCTCTTTCTACCTTTTACTTATTGGGCAAATATTGATAAAACAAATTCAAAAAAAGATTATCATCTCAGAATCACGAGGATAATCTTGTTGCTTCAAAGAATGTGAAGGAGATCTCTTTAAAACGATTGCACCATATCTTTTTAACTCAAAACAACTGGCTACAAAGATTGATCTTTAATTATTATCAAGTCAGGTTGAGCATCACATTTTCTCCTTTTAGATAAAGTTCCTCCTTCTGACCCTGATGAGTCACTTTGAAATTCATTTAGCTCAGCTTTAGGTGAAGGAGAGCGATATAGAACAAATAGAAAGTCAATAGAGTGAAGTGGTGCTAAACGAAAGGATATAAAAGAATAGTCGGTGGATTCAAACATAGTTTCCCAACAAATGGGTGAATTCTTATGAATGTAAATGCCCTTGCCAAACATGTGACTATTGGAGTCTTTACGAACTAAAGGAAGATAGCCATCAACACTACGTTGCAAGTAAGTAGCTATTAATGAGACTTAAAGTAGGTTTTAATGAGACTTAATGAGAATTTAAATGAGTCTTACTAAGAGCAAGTAGGTCTGGTGAATTTTGCAAGAGATAAGACTGACCTGAAGAAAAGTTACTTTAAAGACCACGAATATTAGTGAATGATAGATTTAGAGAACTTGGGGATTACAATGGTTTTTTGTGTTTTATAATTTTTGGTACTTTAGTCATTTTTAAATTACACCATCCATGCGCAATAAAAAGTTAAAATCCGGACTGTAGTACGATACGAGCACAAATCCTGCCACCACCAACTCAGCGCTAGAGTAGTAGTTCGGTACGCAAAAGTGTTGGTCAATAACGGACGCTAGTTTGGATTAGTCTTAATGAGTATTTGTGGCTGTTCCAACAATATCTTTGGATATTGTTGGAACAGCCACATATATGTTAAGCCATATATATATATATATATATATATATATATATATATATATATATATATATATATATATATATATATATATATATATATATATATATATATATATATATATATATATATATATATATATATATATATATATATATATATATATATATATATATATATATTTATAGAAAAAAAATATTTATTATATTTTTTGTGACACTCACACTTCTCACTCACGTCATACTTCTCCAACGCCTACCCCCTCCTACTCCTCCTCCTTCTTCCTTGTCACAGATCGTCACAAAAGTCTGGACCCCCCTCCCCAAGATGCGTGACGTTGTTTATGTAGAGCGCCTTAACGCAAGTTCAAAATTTTTCATAAGGCGGTTACGAAATTCGAGGACGGCTGAGTAAGCGCGAATTTCATTAGTGCTAACTGGCATAAGTGCGAATGGCGTAAGTGCGAACTGGCATAAGTCCGAAATACTAATTTGCACATATGCCAATATTTGAAATTTTATTCGGCGCACTTATGCCAGTTTGCACTTTTGCCAGTTTTAATAACTGCTTCACCCTTTTGCCAGTTTGCATTTATGCCAATTCGCACTTATGCCAGTTCGCACTTGTGCCAGTTTTTGCAATTACTTTGCACTTATGCAAAGTACTTTGCACTTATGCAAAGTACTTTGCACTTATGCAAAGTACTTTGCACTTATGCAAAGTACTTTGCAATAAATTTGAAACCATTTAATTACTCTTTCATTTATTCCGTAATAACTAAGTTTACAAAGCAAAACATCATGATCGACAGTATCAAATGCTTTTGAAAGATCGATAAAAAAATTCCTAATGTAAACTGAGATTTTTCAAAAGAATTGGACATTTCACGCACCAACTGATTAATTGCATTCTCAGTTGAGTTATTCTTTTTAAAGCCAAATCTGATTTTTGTATAATAAATTATTTAAACTAAAATAATTAAATTTTATTTACTTTATTGAACATGATTCTTTCTAGTATTTTTGAAAATATAGATAAGATAGAAATAGCAAATTACTTATATCAAATTACTTATGTCCGGTAGTTACTTATATCAGATTTGTCACCACCTAAAAGTGGAATGACTTTAGCAATTTTCAATTGATCAGGAAAGGCTCCTTGTTCTATTGATGATTTAAAGGTTTTAAAAAGAATATATTTTATTTGTTTAAAGCAATCTAAAATTATGTTACCATTGATTTCATCCGGTCCAACTGCTTTATTTTTTTTTAGTGTTTTGAAGGCTTTTTCGAACTCACCAAATAATAGCAATTTAGATAACTCATCCGAGTGAATGCAATTATCCATCGGTACTAAGAAATCTTTAAATGAGGCTTCTGTATTAGGAATTAATTTAGATAGTTTTAGGCCAATTTCAACAAAAAATTTATTGAATTTATTGAGCTATTGTTTCAGAATTATTTATATTGTTATTATTCACTTTGATCATGTGTGGCAGGGAACCTGAGCATGATTTAAATTTACCGAGCATGATTTGATTTAGCACTTCTGATGAACATGATTTAAATTTAGCACTTCTGCCAATATTTACAAATTTATTCGGAGCACTTATTCCAGTTTTTGTTACTGCTTCGCACTTCTACCAGTTCGCACTTATGCCAATGTTTGCAAATTTGTTCGGCGTACTTATGCCAATTCGCATTTATGCCAGTTCGCACTTATGCGAATTTTTGCAGCAGCTTTGCACTTATGCCAGTTCGCATTTATGCCACTTCGCACTTATTCCAGTTTTTGCAACGCTTCGCACTTATGATAGTTCGCAAATATGCCGATTCGCGCTTATGCAGCCTCTCAGAAACTTGCACTTTACAATGTAGTGTAGGCAATTGCCATAATTTTTTCTCTAAAACCTGGTTTTGCTTCAATAGACAAATAAAAAAAAATTAAAAAAAAATTAGACAAATAAAACAGCACAACAAATAAGTTTAATCATGTCAACATTTTTTTTTACTTGCGCTAAGTCGTTGTTCATTCAAATTTATGTTGTAAAAATCTATCAAAACGATTGATGTAGTGTACATCAATCGTTTTGATAGATTTTCTGATAGAAGATTTTTTTTAGAAGATTTTTGAATATTTTTTTAGAATTTTTTTTGAATATTTTTCTTAGAATATTTTTTTTAGAAGATTTTTTTTAGAAGATTTTTTTTAGAAGATTTTTGATAGAATAGTTTTTAATAATATATTATTAGAAACTATTTGGCGAACCTCCTCTAACCCAGATTTACAGTTTGAAATAACTGTTTATAAAAATTAAAAACAGTTAGATAAATTAAAGCGGAACTTATTTAAAAAAATGTTTAATCGTTTTTAGATTTTTATTAAAATTCTATTTGGATAATATCAGGTAAATATCTATAATTTATAATGTAATCTATAATTTTTTCCAATAAAGTTGGTCGAAATATTCTCTAAAATATTTATTCTCTAGATAAGACAGTAATCCTCTTAACTTTTAAGTTTAGTATACTTAATTTAAGTATACTTTTAAGTCTTAAAAGTTAAAAAATTACTAATAATTTTTTTAATTTTTAAGTCTAGTATATTAAACACTGTTTTTAAAAGGAATAGTGGATAAAAGATAAAGCAAAGAAAAATATTTAAGTATAAAAAAGTAAAGATTGAACTGTACAATGTAAATCATGTTTGAAATGAACGAACCTAGAAGAGATAAAGTGAAAAGAGTAGCTGTTCTAATAAATCTATAAACTTTCATAAAGTTCAGAAGGTTTTTAACTATATTACATTGAGAATATTTTTTGCTCACCACTGTACAGTTGTGTGCAATAGTTAAGCATTAAGTTAAGCATCGTTAGTAGAACCAGCCCAAATATGAATCTAAAAATAGAGCTACTTTAGATGTAAGGTTGTCAGGATGATCATTAATGTAGATAAGAAACAAAACAAGACTAAGGATAGAAACTTGAGGTACCCCAGAAATTACTGGAAATAAAGAAGAGTATTGGTCTTTGAGAAATGTTTTAATAATCTCAAAAACTTTCTCAGATACACAATATGAAGCAAGCTTATGGAGAAGACCAGCATCCCAAAGCTATATATATAAATATATATATATATATATATATATATATATATATATATATATATATATATATATATATATATATATATATATATATATATATATATATATATATAGCATATTTATATGCGCACTTGCTCACTTTTTTTGCTCATCTAAATCAATATAGGTTTTTTAGAAAATTAAGAGGAAAAATGAAGAATAATGAATGAAAAGGTTGCTGACCCATCCCAAAACCCTTAGGCTATGTAGCAGCACTCCACTGTGAGTTAGGCTATTTGTCAGTCGATGTATGTACTGAAACCCCCGGCAGCAGGCTATTTCAGTATGATGTCACACCTCCCACCTAAATCAGCAGTATAAGATCGTTTACTTCTAATCACTTTATTAAAGTCATCTTTGAAGACCAACACTCTTCTTCATTTCCAGTAACTTCTAGGGTACCTCAAGGTTCTATCCTTGATTCTGTTTTGTATCTACATTAGCGATTTTCCCAATAACCTTACACCTAACGTAGCTTTTTTTGCTGATGAATAGGCTGTTGATCATGAATCTGATATCTCTTTTGTAACTGATTGGGGCTCACAGTAGCTTGTAAATTTTAACTCTAACAAAACTCAGTTGTTTACTGCAAACAACTATTGCAGTACTGTCGAAATTCCTATATTAATGAATGGCAACCCTCTAACTGAGTCTTCTTTATGCCTTTTTAGATTATTGTTTAGTACTGACCTTTCATGGAAACCATATATACAATCGATTGTTAAATTAGCATCTGCTAAGGTTGCTTTTCCTTATCGTGCTTGCCATTTTCACTCTCCTGATTCATTTTCTAATTCTACATATCTCTTATTTGTCCCTGTATGAAATGCTGTTGTCATATTTGGGCTGGTTCTTTTAATGATGATCTTTCTCTTCTAGACAAGGTCCAAAAATGCATTGTAAACGTAGTTGGGCCCGCTCTATTTGCTATCCATTGCCATAAAATTGTATTTTTTTCACTTTTCTACAAATACTGTCATGATCGCTGCTCAAAGAAGCTATCATCTCTAGTTCCATCAACTAAAACTCATTCTTGCTTGACTCGTAATTCAGCAAAGTCTCATTCTTTTACTGTATCTGTCACTGCGTGCTCTAAAAACTTTTAATTGTCTAGTTTTTTTTCCCCACACTTAAACCCTTTAAAAGAGTTTTTTTTTTTTTTTAAATATTAAGTACAATTTTATTCAATATTTTGAATCCTAATATAAACTTTAATTTTAATAACATCTTTCAACATCTGTAGATGTGGGCTCGGTCATTATATGCCTTAACACTTTTGTAGATTTTCTTTTGTAGAGTTTTTAAGACTTCATAATGAATTACATCTGTATTATAGCATTTATCAATTCTAATCTTTTTATTATCTATCAAATTTTTGCTAATTTCTCTATTCATTAAAGAAAGTTTCTCACATTTTCTACACACAGTTTCTACAACCTACTACACACAATGTAGTTTCTACAATACTACACACAATTTCTAAACACAAATTCTAAAATTGTGTCAGCACTCAACAGTGCTGAATCTTTTCCGCTAAGATTCTCTACAGCTAGTTTAACTGATTTTGATATCTTTTAAGGTATCCAAGTCTACATTATTGACTAAAATCTGCCTTTAATAAGTTTTTCAAGTTGCCTTTTCTGTATTTATTAATAGTTCAAGCACTATTAGTATTGTGTTTCTGTGAGTTTTTACATGACATTTTACAAATTTTTTTTTCATAAAGACTCTTGGTTTTTAATTTAAAACATGATTTCAACAGTTGACAGATTGATTTGTTTTCAATATTATTTTCACATTCATCATTTGTAACTTCAAAGTTGGTGTCTTTGTCTATATAATCATTTTTGTTGTTATCATCATCACATGACTAAATCTTTAGTATCAAGTTTTTTCTCATAAAGTGTGTTACATACTTCAAGATGTAAACCATGATTAAGAAAAAATTGATCAATAACATCTTAATTTCGAATATACTTATTAGTTAGCTGGGGCTCCATTCTGTGTAGATGCAACCAAATTTATTTATTGATATTTCAAAGACACTTCAATGTTGTTTCAATCATTTCGTGTATACTGCATCTTCTCACTTGTTCTTTTATCTATTAATTTAGTTAATTCTGTTGCCTTAGCTAAGCGAACTTTGTGACTTTTCCAGCAACTTTTTAAGGAAATCATAGAATTTCCTGAAAATTTTATTATTTTTTCACAATGTTGACATTGTCTTTCCAACTCTTTTGTAAATGAATTTTTCTGTTTTATTGCATAAATTTAGACTGACATTGCTTAGAATATAAATCTTAAAATAGGATATTCAAAAACCATTTCCCCACCATTTAAAAAAAAGTAGAAGTTCACAACTTGCTATTTATGAAATTATATTTAATTAAAATAAGCAATTTTTCTCAGGTTGTTAAAGAATAGAATAAGTTAAAGTAAGGAATAGAATACACACTTTTTATATTTCAATAAGAAACTGTTTCTACAAACCCTATTTATAACTTAAGAAATTTTTTAATAACTTTCATAAATAGAAGCCTTAAAATAAGAAATTTCCTTAAAATAAAAAAAATTCTAGTATTAGCCAGCACGACAGTGGTTTCTTATTAAAAAATAGTGTGTAACTAAAGTTATTTATTCAATTACTTTTTGACCTAAAATTATTCATTAAATTACTAATAGTATTGAAAGTTGAATCAAGTTACAATTAAAATTATTTCATGAAATGAAAGTTGTTGTAAAGTACTAAAAACACTTGTCATTCACTAATTGCGAATTTTTAATTAAAAAATTTTAATCAAAATAAAAAAAAAATTAAATTTTTTTTCAACTTAGTTTAAATGAAACTGAATGAAGCTAAATAAAAATTCATTACAATATTGAAATAAAATTTAATTGTTATGATGAATGCATACAAAATTTTTTGTACCAATAATTTTAATTTGAAAAAATTAAAAACATAGAAAAAAGTCTTGTAAAAAACAGCTGTTTGCTGCTTTTTTTAAAAATGTCAATGTAGCAGCACTCCTTTGTGGCAGCAGGCTATAAGATGGTTGTATGTATGTACTGAAGGCCCCAGCAGCAGACTATTTCAGTGTGATGTTATAAATGTTATCTAAACACACATTCATATTTATACATATACAACAGGGGCTACTCTAGGAAAATAATTTGGGTGGTGGAATCCCCTGGTGCCTGCTGTAAGGAAATTTGGTGGAAACTTTGCCGTTTGTATGCATTTTTTTGCCTTAAAAAAAAAGTCCTTAATTTCTGAATTTTGGTGATATCTAAATGTTGCCCAATTATGTTCAATGCTGCCTAAAGGGTAGAAAAGCTCTGTATATATATATATATATATATATATATATATATATATATATATATATATATATATATATATATATATATATATATATAAAATATGAGTAGTTACATTAATAATATAAAATTGAACTCTAATATTTTAGTTTTTTGCTAATAAAACAAGCAGCATTACCAAATTACCCCAGATAATCATCATCAAATACTGTGCTATAATATTTCTAAAAATTATGCAAAAATATATATATATATAGTAAAAAAATAATATATATATATATATATATATATATATATATATATATATATATATATATATATATATATATATATATATATATATATATATATATATATATATATATATATATATATATATATATATATATATATATATATATATATATATATATATTATAACAATAAAACATTGTTACTATGTCCATGTATATGTTATTATCAACATATATAAAACTTGGTTCTTGACTTCTTTTAACTTTTTTATATGTTTATTTTTTCTTTAATTATTTTTTATTTTATGTTATCTATTACTGAATATTATACTTTAAATATTAAAATTTAGAAAATGTTTCATCTATTGTGCAATGTTGAGAAAGTTTAATAGCATTTCTTTGAGAAACACAGAAATATTTCTGAAAATGTTAGTTTCAACTCAGCAACAATCAAGTTCTCAAGGTAATCAATCAATCAAATCTTTTATATAAACCAAAAAAAAGCTATAATAAATATAACTCTGCTCTCTATTTATTTATCAATCGAGATTGCAAGAACCTGTCTCTGAGTTTACAAAAGATTTTATTATAAGGTTCTCACTGTTCTGCAACAATAGTAAAGAAGAATATCATGCCTTCCAAATAGTGCTCTAGCACTGATCCGAGGTGGTTTGTTAATAAATTTATGTAAATACATAAGTTTATTAAAACAAATACATTCTAAATTCAAAAATTTGTTAAATAAACACACTAAACACACAAATTTGTCAAAACTTGTTTTTCCTCACAAGAGCCTTATTTTTTTATAAGTCCGATATTTTGGAATTCAAATATTGAGAGAGGGTCAATATAAACATTTAAACAATTCCTAAAGGAATTAAATAGACTGTTCAGGATTTTTATATCATAGTTTTTGAGTGAATAACAAGATAGCAATATTAAACATAAATTTTTAATTCAGTCATTTATACAATGCAGGCAATAAAAAGCTAAATGATTAGATAACTATTTATAAGAGGTTTAAAAAAAATATAAGCAAACAGAAGAATTCGTTAAAACCTTTGAGGAGGTGAATAACAAAAAAAAAAAAAAAAAAAAAAAAGCTTTATTGACTGTTTAATAATTTTTACAAATTAAACAGCTGGGTCATTCCATGTCAAATCAACTATAAAAAAAGTTTTCGGCACTATACCATCTCGGATTTTGCTGATTTTTAGAGTAAAAGCTTAAATTAATGAAAGAAAACTTCACTCCAAATTATAATATCAGACTTCTTATGGTTTCAGAAATATTGATACTCAGGCTTGGTCGGGAAACGGAAGCGATCGCTCTCGAATACTGACCATGGAAATAATATTTAGTTGCAAAAAACTGGCCAGGTTTTTTAGTCGTTTTGAGAACATTTAAGTTTATGAACGGAACAAAAAAATTTTGTTTTAAGGACATTCATGGAAACATAATAAACTTGAATGTTCTCAAATATCTTGGTGCGGAAGAATAAAAAGAATATTTTCATGAATACTAAAAACCCAATGATATATATTTAACTAGATGTCTAACTTTACATAAATTCTGTAAGAAAATATGAAGCAAGTTTTTGAAGGTTTTAAAGCCGGTAGCCGCAGCAAAGATAAAAACATTTTGGCGATGTTAACTTTTTAAATGTTAAAAATATCTATTTATATAGTTAAAAATATCTATTTATATAGTTAAAAATATCTATTTATAAACTGTTATTTAAAAACAGCTATTTAAAAAGCTTTAGTAGATAAAGAAAGTTAGAAGTTATTATATAATACAAAGATATTACATTTTTACTTGGCAAATATAAATATATGTTGGCAAAAAATGTTTTTGACTTTTACAACTGTAACTTAAAAGTACCCTGTTGAAAACCTTTGAGTTATTGTTATAAAAGAACATATTCCATTATGAAAAGGAATCAAAAGTGTTGCTGATATAAATAGTTATTTTTATTTTTAATGTAGGTTTTCAATTAAAAAATTAAAATTAGTTCAAAAAACTGTAACTTAGTTCAAAAAACTGTAACTTACAGTTAACAGTTATAGTTATGGAATTTCCAGAAATAATAAAATTTTTGTTTTAAAGAAATAATTTTATTTTTTAGCATAAATAGCATACAAATAATATTGAATATTACTATTGTAATTTTTCATAAACCTTTGAACAAAACAAACTTATTGGACTGTTGCGGTAATCCAATCATTCCTTTATGCAACTCATATCTAGTGTACAGCTGACCATATGAGTGCAGACGCAATGTTAAATATTTTCCTATAACTTTTTTTAAAAGCTGTGAAGAATGCATGTCTTCAGTCAAAATCTCATGTTCTGAATCATGCATATTTAGTAAACAGCGCATCATTTGCAAGTTTTTGATTTATGAAGTGCACCAGATAGGTTTTAAGATTTTTTTTAGAAGATATTTTTAAATTATGGGGGTCTACCCCACACACCAAAACTTTAAAAAGTTTTGCTCACATTTTTCAACAATCTTTAAAACACTACATGATGGAAAGATCAAACTACCTCGATTTTTAAAAGTTATAAAACTTTTCCATGATGAACTGCAAAATATAGAATACTCATGATCAGTGGACAAAGTCTTCTGAGAAATTAAACTATTGGCACAAGTCAGACATGTAATTTTACTATAAAATTTTCTTACAATGAACCCTGCAATATATCCAAGTATAGCTTCTTTATAAATTGAAGTAGAGACTGATGAAAGACAACCAGCAAGATCTTTAAAATAGTTAGAATCCCCACTAGATATTATATTTTGTTCAACAAGAGGAGATCTCCTTTTACTCCACTTTAATAAAAAGATTGAGCCAGAAGATCTTTGGTCAAAAGTAAGGCTGTTGCTAAATTTTAATCCTATGATAGAGTTTCTTAATAAAATTCTTTTTAAAGCATATTTTAACTGACGTGCATCTGGATTGTTATTGAAACTATTTTTGCCTCGAATACAAGCAAATAATAATTCGACATGATCTTGTGACAGTTTATATGTTAAAATAAATTCAAAAAGATTCTCATGTCTAGATAAAAGGTTAAGGGATAAATCTCTAACATTTGTGGCTGCTACAATGAAACTAAGTACAAATGTCTTTCTTCTGTGTTTAATTAAAGAAGTTTTAGATAGGCCTCAAGTTAATAAAGTAATTTACAGACTTTTCTATGGTTTCTTTCCATTTTGGAGCTTCATTCAAAAACAAAGGTTTCTTAGATCCTTTTTCAAAAAGGTTTTTAGAGTTTAACAAGTCGAATAATTTATCTAAAGTTCTAATAAAATTAATGTGCCTTGGGCATCAATAAAAGTTGGATGACCTGAAACCATCAAAAACTTTATAGCATCAGCAACTGAACGACTTAGCGTTTGAGCTGCAATTTTAACATTCATTTTATGTCTACGAAAGTCAATGTGGTAATTGCCAAGTTTATTTGCAAACTTAAATCCTTCTTCTTCTTGCAGTTTATGCAATGCTTTAATATGGTCCCACTTTATATATTGATTTTGTTCATCAACAAAGATACCGATACTACACAGAGCATTTCGAGCTAATTTAAGCATATGACAAGGATCAGGGATATAATATATAGGATGCTCATATTCAGGATGGGGAAAACTACCACGTATCTCTTTAATTTTACTTACGAATGAACACCCAAGATTCTTCATAGCACTAAAGTTGGAAATAAGTCCATCACATATTATACTCCAAACATTCAGATTATGAGTAGCGCATAAATTTGAAGCATTTTTAATTAGACAACTTAAATCCGTTGAGGAAATTTTATCACACAATATGTAGCCTATAGGGCATTTCCAATGGCCTTTCAATCCAACAACCATAAAAACAAGTGCTTCTGTTGCTATTTTATTTGGGTCATAGGCTAGAATATTGTTTCCAAAACTAGAAAAACCTTCATATGATCCAGTAACATTATCATACCGCAGAACAGCCCTGATATGCATAGAATCAAATATTAATGCACAATCTTTGTATGATGAATCCTCAAATGTCTTATTTTGTAAAAACTTGAAAACATCTCCAAAAAACCCAGGCGAACAATCTACAGATGAGGTCCAGTTTGAAAGTGAGCTTATGGCAGGTAATGAGAATGTAGATTTAACAAATTCATATGCTCTTGGGGAATAAAAGTGCAGTGTTAAAGCAAATTTTTTAACTTCTTCAGAGTATCTTTTTTTTTTGCCTCTATTTTTTAATTCAGATTTAAAAAATTTTTGAGTCAATCTAGAGAAGTTGTTTTTAAGTAATTCAGCAACATCAATAGAAATAATTTTTTTTTCTTTAAGTTTTGAATCACTTTGCTAAGTGAAGCAATTTTGTTATCTTTTCGTTTAAGCTTTTGTTTTAATATTTTAATCTATTTTCTAATTAATAGTTTTTTTGGAGAATTTTGTTTAAGTATTTTTTTTTAATAGTATTTTTAATTTCAGGCTCTGTTACCTCTTTATTTGAGATAGAACAAATTGTTTTTTTAATGTGTGATGTATTATCATTATATAGCTGATTCTGCTTGTTATTTTTGTTCAATGATTCATGAAAGTCAAATATCAAGGCACAATTTTTTTTTTCAGCACACGTTTCCCATTCTCTTGACACTCAAAATCTTCTAATTTAAAATGTTTACTGCAGATTCTACTATGTTTACTAGGTGTAATTTGTAAACATTTAGTTGCTGTTGCCCATTTTTTACATAAAATTTCATCATTTAAAGGGAATCTGTGAAAAGAAATTAAACTATTTTTATCAAATCTGCTTTTACAGTTGTAAACTGAACAATTAATAACCATGTTTATTATTTGTTACTCTAAAAAATAAATCGTATTGTTTTCAAAAATATATCTTTCTTGTTTTATAAATACATACACACACACACTCACACACATTATCCCAGACTTTATCATATATAATATCATTTGAATATATATATTAGGGATGTACACTCGTGGTCGCCCGATGGCACCAGGCGACCGAATATTGGGAAGGGCGACTCAAAATATTTTTTTTTATGCAATCAAGTCGCCCGAAAGGGCGACTATTGATTTTTATCGGCAGTTTTTTTTTTTTGTGTGTGTAATTTAAGAGATTCAAAATATGCAAAGTAACTAATGCAATAAGTAACTAAAATAAGAATAAAACCTTATTTTAAAAGTCATAATGCTAAAGTTTGTTTACCGCATTTTCTATTGTTAATTAGAAAATACAAGTAAAATAAAAACAAAAAGGTTTTATCGTTTAAACATTCTTTTTTTTTTATTTAATTAAATTTTAGAGATATGTATTAAAATTTAGAGATATATATAATTCTACATATACTGAAATAAAAAAAAAAAAAAAGAAATTTAAAGAAATGACTAATGACTCTAGATTGCGTCTGGAAAGGCATTTTAATTATTATTTTAAAAAC